AATGCGTCCGTTGTGGCTCACGTCGGTGGACGTTGAGAATGGTGTTAGCCTTAAATGGGAGGAGGCATTCACGGACGACTCCAGTCCACACGGAAAATATCGCATGGAAGCGACTCTCGTCACGGACCGCCAGTCGGCCGACTCCGACAGCTGGTGGAAATCAGTTGGACCTCGTTGCCAACCGATTCTCGGCAACTCCTACTGCCTCGATCTCCCCTTACATGCAACCTCCGAACAGGAGGTCCGTCTTCTTGCATTGACGAAGCGTGACAACGTTCACGGATGGCTTAATTGCTACAAGCGTGTTAGGTTACCGTCGAGGCGTCAGCTACTTCCTGCCCCGGTGGAAGGTCTACGAGCTCACGCGATCCAATCAGGGACCGTAACTGGAGATTTTTCGGTGCGACTCGATTGGAGCGCTCCTGGCCAATCAGAAGGCGAGACGATGCTGGAGAAGCAGCTCGAACCGGGCCACTTCTTCACACCATGTGATACATCCTACCGCATCGAGGTACACGAGGGTTATGGGCTGTGGCGAGAAATAGAAACGCTTGTTGGCTCCAAGAAAAACTCGTTTGTGCACAAAAACCCCACAACCGGTTCCACTCTGTGCTACCGCGTGACCCCAGTCAACAGTTTCGGTGAAGGAGCCAGTGTCGAAGCGCCGGCCATCCACCTTCCAAAACGTCTGTCTGAACTGCAAGGGTAAGTTCACATTTGGTGTTAACTTTCACGCACCTCCGATGAAGATTTTATTGATTTAAAAGAGATTGTCGGTCGCAAAAGGCAGGTGTCTACATAGTTATCGTTTTCATCATCTTCATTGACGTCATTTCCACATATCTAAGTGCATAACCCAAATTAAGAACTTGTCCGAGTTAGTTAGAATGGTAGTAGCCTCGAATTTAGCGAGTTGCTTAATCTGGTATACAATTTGACTAGAACGAAGATAGTGGATTGGATGGAATTGATGATGATGATCACTGATAGAACGCTTGGCATTAAGATCCACTATTATGATGTGCCAGAACGAGGTTGTGAATGCGCAAATAACAGGAGTGTGGGTTTCTCGCCAAGATTCAGGCACAAATTACATCCCAAACACGACAATCAAGCTTCACGTGAGGTTTGCTTTCTCGAAAATTGAGCGTTAGTGATAGAAATTGGATTTGACCTGATCAGGTATGGTACGAAAAAACACTGTGGCTGACACGAGGAATAACAACTGATGTTGCCAACATTTGATTGCTGATATTTGCCACGCAAAACAGAACTGTTCTTGTCAACGCGACATAATTTCAGTGACAATGCATTCGCTGAATCGTGATGATTTAGATCTCAGTGGACAACAAACGCCGAAAACAGATGTGCTCGATTTTGTTCGGTAGACACGTCGGGATGATTGATCGACGAGGAGTCCACTTCACGCAAGACGACACATGACATCGAATCGCCAGAAGCAGTGGAGGAGAAATCAGCGAGTTGGGATGTGGAGAGCAGCCTCAAACAACGCGGAAACAAGAGTTAGGGCCAGTGGAATGCCACCTTTCCAATTTAATGGAGGTGATTCCTTGTGGCGGAAAAGGAGTCCAGAACAGCCGTGGTCAAAACCGAACTCATCTTCTAATCAGCTGGAAGACAAGGGAGATTGTGGTTGCCAGAATGACGGAAGAAGACTTTTGAAAAGCTGGCGATTTCCGTGTTCACAAATCGACATACAGTGCGCAAAATCTGTGCAACTGTTGGAGACTGCAGTCTCCGTCGATGAATCTCTGGATACAGTGGATTTACTCGTCAAGTTAGGCGCATTTTCAAGGTCGAGCGCAAAGGCGGCTGACGACCAGTTAAACACAACTTTCGCACACGAGAAGTGGGTCAAGTTCACTGAACACCACGCTATGTCAATATTTAGGGTCCCAACATTCACCAAATGCTGTTAGAGACTGGAGTTTGTCGAGTTCGTGTGTGTGTGTGTGTGTGTGTGGAGCAGTTGGTGTGGGGTGCTCATGTCAAACTGTTACCAAGTCCTGAGGCAGTCAGCCTGACCCCCCACATGCATCAGTCACACACCGACCAATAGACAAGAGACCTTGCACAGTAGAATTGATTCATCGACAAAGGCACTGGAACCCGATTGGTTGGTTGTGTCACGTCCACCCTGCTCAACGAACCTGCAGCCAACTGACGCCTGCATTTCCTGGGCACCACGAAGTACACATCGTGGAATGCGCCTCTCTTCGGGCGGCATGCTTTTGACGCAGCGTTTAATTTATCAGCTGGATTTCATTTCGCGCAGTCAGTGGAATGGCATTAAAGTGCGTTGTGGATAAAAACGAAGCACCCCATTGGGTTATTTCAAGGTGACATTCAGGGCTATGCATAAAGCCCGCTTATGGAGAGATTCTATGGTTCAAAGTGGCCGAAGGTTTGTGCCTTCAAATTTGGTCATTTGGGGACACGTTAGCCCACAGACTGGCCGGGGTGAGGCCGAAGTCACCTCACGTGCATCGTCCAGGTCAGCGCATCGCCAGCACTCCCACCCACCCCGTCAAACTGCATTTAAGTTGTCATGTCAACCGATGGCCTGGAACACGAAACGGCGCCTCCTTTCCAAGAATTCCAGGTGTCTACATTCCAACTGACGTTCTGAAAGAAATCTTCATGCCTGATGTCGTGCAGGGCCAATTTGGAAACCTTAAACTGACGGTCAGCTGATAACGTCATGGTTGTTAAAATTCACCTGTTTCGGCCGTAACACTACAATTTCGCATGCAGATCGATTTTTTTTAAATCACCAATTGTGGGGTGTCATGTTGGCTTAAATTAAATGTGGCGCCTTGACAACACATGAGAAGGCCACTTAAGTCAGTTGAGACCAGCTGACGTGATGAAGTCATTAAAGTGACCTTGGTATCACACACACATGACTTACGTTTGGCCTGTTGAGCGTTCACGTCGGAGTCGTACGCCTTGGATTTGGCGAGTTCGTCGACGTCGTAGAAGGACTCCATCATGCCGTCGGTGCCCTCCGAGATGACGTCTTCCAGTTCGGTCAGCTGACTAGTCCGCTCGAGCGTCTTCTCGCGCAGTCGCACCACTTCCTCGTCGACAAGTGGGTTGTCAATGTCTGAAACAGTTGCCATGTTTACCGAAAGATACGAGGGCACACGTGGCGCACAAAAAAGGGGCGAAAAAAATCCACTTGGGCAGAGGCTGTTCCCTCTCAGTTTGGTCAACAAAAGTCACGATTAGGCCTGGTTGGAGGACCACCGTTCATGCAAGACTAGACGATTTGCACTGCAACTTTCCACTTACCTGCACGCGCGTGCACGTACTTGACGTATCGATCGATGGTGCACGGAGGTGCGTGCGTGGGTGCATGCGCACGTGCGTGCTTGGTCGATCGGCTCTCCAGCCAATGGGAAGCAGCCAATCACCCCCTACTGCCAAGGGTTAAAAATTTATACACAATCTAGACATATGCCCCAGAATGTATTTAAAAACAATTGTGTGGTTGAGATAACGGACGGTGATGTTGACAAGGGATTGGAGAATTTATGGGTGTTTTCCTATGATGTTATCTAAGGAAACAGACATTTCAGGGCCACCCAAACGTCCTTGACTCGGTTGCCATGACAAGCCGACAAATCTGATTGGTTAATCCCAAACGATGTTGCTTTTTCGTAGGATCGTTATTACACTTTTCAGTCATGTCACGTGATGCCGTGATAAACGCACCATCAGCTAAAAGTACAGTCGATTGGATGTTGATTAACTACATAAATTCCGACCACTGTCTTCGTTAATACAAATGGGAATTTGGTAGAAGAGCCTTTCTGTCTAGGGGCGGTATTTTAAATCCAGGTTTCTCAGCAAATGGGTGGTAACACAATGCTATTCAGCTATGCAGCTGGATACATTTAAGGTAATTGACACACTTATACCACATTATTATAATTATCGTTCTGTGTTTATACTTTTAAATTCAATTTAACCACACCTATACAATTGGCTCAATTCGCTATTATTATTGTCATCCATTTAAAGTAGCGTCAAGGTCGTACGAATAAATAAATTGATCAGAGGTAACTCTGTAAATTTCGAGTACACGGTACATTTATGATCTTTCTTTGATATCTCGTAGTTGCATTTTTAAATTCAAACGAGTCACATTTTTCCTATTGGCTTAATTCTCTGTTATTCGGGTTACCAATTTAAATTATCGCCAAGGTCGTTCAAGGTCGCCTGTGTTCAGAAAAAGAACCTCACCTTTATTCCTTAAAGCTCGCCCGATATCTTCTAACCACGCCTGGCGACTGACCGCATTCGGCGTAGATATGGTGAAGACCGGTTTGATTGGATCCGTATCGTCAGCGATGTTCCAAATCTCGAAATCGGTGGCGTTTGATGTCCCGTCTCCCGGTTGTATACGAACACTAGACAGCTACGAAAATCGATAGCAAATAATAAACGAGACCATCTTTTTTTACATTCATGGCGAAGCATATGCTTGTTTATCGATAAACGCGGTCGTAAAACCGTGATTTAGGGGGCAAATTCACCTTTTGGCATTCCTATATGCCACTGAAAGCCTTTATTGTACACTTTTTTCTTATTGATCGAGTAACCTTTGAAGGCAATCATTCTGTTCAAGGTCATCTAAGGCCCGTTTCTTAAAAGTGTACACCTATCATTACTTTATGCAGATTTGAAGTGTTTGATAAAATTACGCCTACTAAATTGGTGTTAACGAATAAAATTTATTTGCTACCAGAGTTTTCATGCGTTTTAACATTCCATACACGGCGAGAAATTTGACCATTCAGTCCCCTCCAATCAGAACCAATCAGAATTGTTTTCTACAAAAGTTTCATGTCTGTGAAATGTCTCTGGGTGTCATCGTTTAAAACAATACGCTCTAGATTTGAATTCAAATTCAGCGATTCTTTCCCAACTGTCTAGCACGACAAGCCAGCTAGTTATTAATCTTGGAGGCCTTTGCAAAATTGTTATCGCAGACATTCCGACTTTTTCAAAGTATTCGCGCGGGAGAACTTTTACAAGTACTTTCGGACAAATCTCATGCCACGTGACGAAAAGAACACAAAACTGGCTGCGTTGTTTCCTCGCACTGTCCACGAGTGTGCTGCTTCTACTAAGTCCAAGTTTATTCTCATTAATGTTTTTACTGAGAGCAAAGCAGTAGTATGTAGTTCGAGTTATCGCAAATTCAGAGCCAGCCCTCTTATTGGTTGGCAAAGAGAAAAGGCGCCATCTTTGGATCAACCAATGAGATTTATGATCGCCGAAAAATGCACTATATAGAACCGATATCTAGATACAGCTGCGAGTTTAAGAAACCATGGATGTTTCGAATATTTTTTGACCTTTTCAACTTTGAGAAAGCATCAACCAATGAGCTTGGCGTTTTTCCAAAACTGGAAATCGATGATGCTGTAATTAATATCTTAACCACACAAATTAGCACTCGGGCAGAGTTCGACCTCAGCTACGCAAACTACTAAAAACCCATAGGGTTTCGAATTAGTTTCATAAATTAAGTCAGATTGGTAATCAGGAATATGCTGGGAATCGTGTTGATTAGCACTACCAATGAAGAATTTTTGCCGATTTGATTAAAATCAGTCATGCTCGAAAACGATGACTACTTAATACAAATCAGTAGTGTTTAATATAAGAAGTTAGTTACTCAGTATTTGCTTGACCCAGGAAAGACAGAAACGTGAATTCTCTGAATACATCAACAGAGAGATACGGAATCACCTACCGGTAGTATCCAGGCAATCTCATGTTTTGTTTTATCTAAGGGCGGGTTTGAAATGAAGATGAGATTATCCGGATTTAAAATGAGAAATCCCTCGTCGATGTTTGAATCGTCCGTTCCATCTCGACTCCCTTTCAGCAGAGTCTAAAAAGGGCTGGTGATGAATCTGCACTTACCATTCGCGTGATTGGTTGAGGCAGTTGGCTGACCACGCAACTTCCACTGGAAGACGGTAGCGTCCCAAGCGAACCGTCTGATGGAATGTTGGACACAAACGCCCACAGTTGCTGGGCTTCTGTCGCTCGTCTTTGAAGCCTCCTTAGCATCGTCATTGCGCATTCCAGCGCTCTGGTCTCCTGTCCGGCTCTGCTCGTGTAACGAGCCAGACAACCCAACAGGTGTTCGTAGGCGTAGAAGTGGGTTCTGGGAGCAAACAGGTACTCCAAAAGGTGTTGAGAATCGATTTTTTGCTCCTCATCTGCATCATCAGACGTCATGCCAAAGAGGCTGTTCAGTTTGTCATCGCAAATGGTTTTGAAGGATTGCATCCACCTGTTTAGATGGTACAGGTAACCTGTGTAGTGATCCCAGTCCGATTCCTAGAAATATACTCAATGTTTATTGATATAATTTAAGTAGGGTATAAAACATTAGAAAAAACTTGCGTTTTCTGTGAAACAGGTCGCAACGTGCGGCGGATCGATAATGCAGGCTTGAAGTTTATTCAGAGTGCTAAAAGGACAATAAAATATGTTAGTCAAACAAATTGTTTTTCACAAAAATTTCCACAATAAAATTGTACCTCTCTGAGAGATGAATAATGCTATCAAGATGAGGCAGCATTCCCGAGACTGCCTCCTTCATTTCGGGTGGCAACGAGCTTCTCTGTTCGTCCTTGAAGTGAGTTCCATCCAATTGGCCGAGAATGTTGCGTAGCATTTTAATGCGCAACAGGTAACCCTCTTCTTCCTCCATCAAATCTGTTAAAGCGTGTCTAAGAAGAACACATAGTTACGAGAACAGTCAAGAGTAATGCAATGCTTAGTTGTTGATGCAATAACTACTTAAAGAAAATAAGTAGACACATTTTAAATGGATCCATATCATGAATGATTGTAATCACTGAAAATGTGAGCGGTCCTAGTTAATGCTGAACAAATTAACTGGACTGACATCCGTCACCTCCATGTTCTGTTTTGACGTGTTGTTGTCGAAACAATTGGGACGCGATTTCACCTCCATCTCACCAATTCGCATTCACAGTTGTTGAAAGTTGAAGAGTAAAACTAGAACCCAGGCAGTAGCAGTTTGAATGTGATTTCTCGGCGTCACGAATCTCATTTTAATCACTTCTAGGAAAGGTTAGTTTTGTTAAACACATTTTTTGGGATGACTAGGTTTTAACCAATCACGACGTGCCATTAATGCACACAACGCAAACAGCGGGTATCTGAAATGTGATTGGTTGTCTGTGACGAAGACTCAGGCATTCCTTTCAAACGCTTGAAAGTGGTTCGAACATAATAATACGAATGGAATCAGAAAGAGGTATATTACCAGCTATTTCTAGTACTATATTACTTTTACCTCCAACTAATCAAAAATGAAATTATTTTACTCTTAGGCCGTTTTTAATCCAAATTTCGTGTTCCTAATTTCTATCACGAAAGTGAAATGTTTGTCGGGTGCTTCGCAGGTGATTTTAAATTCCGTATTTCAAGGAAAAATAAAGCTAGAGTGCGTTAGTCTACACACTAACTTCAAATTTGATTGGTTTGTGGTCTGCGGTTGATCAATGGGACTTCATTGTACCACCGCCACATCCGCCAATCTAGCCTTTTCGAATACACGCAATAGTTGAGTTTTTAAATTTGTGTTTAACAATTTTACACGCCATCGTCTTCTCAGGGAAAGCCATATTAGTAAAATACGTACGCCTTGTTGGTACTCCTTACTAAATGTTGAGATGCAACCGTACACAAAGATTATTTAAACATGATTCAAAGCTATTTGTGATGAAGGTGAGGCATGAATGTAGTGCAGGATTTTATCCCGCTACCATGGTAATGACCTTGAACTGAAAAAGTCTAATTGCGACCGTAGACCAATTAACCTACAATGTGACTCCACACAGAGATCCATGATCATGTTTTACTGTGATAAATAATCTGCAGCAGATGGAGATGACCTACTTACTAGTATCAGCTGTCAGTAGTATCGCGACTAGAAGGTCATATCACAGAGTCTACGGTTGACCAATGAGATTACGCTGTGCATCAGCCAGTTTAGCGCTTGTGAGTTTCGACACTTTTGCATGCCATTGTCCACAAGTCTTCCAATTAATTTGCACATCAAACAAGCCACACAAAGAATTAGCCGCCACCAAGCGCACCTTCGTTTCATGAGCGACTCCTGCTGCTTGTTGGAGATGGTGAGGACCTCCTCACGGAACTGCTCTCGTGGATTGGTGCCTTTTCCGCCGGTTCCAGTGGACTGTTTGTAGTGACTGACCGGTCTTTCCAGTAGACAGACAGCCCCGAGTCGACCCGTGGCTGTCGCTGAGGTCGCCACAACCCAGCGATCAGGATTGTCCGAGTCCAGACAAGCCACGGCGTCGTCTTCTTGGACGTCTAGCAGATCTGGACTGGACGCGCGACGTGTCGCGGCGTCGATTGAGAAAGACGCGTAGTAGCTTCGATGGTCATTTTGCCTCTTTCAGTAAGGAAGCAGCAAAAAGAGAGTCAGATGTGTTCTAGTGAATTACATCCCTACCGAGTTAGACTGGGCAAACCAACTGCATAGTGGTTTTCAAACAACCACGCTGACAAATTACCTGAGAAGATTAAGACCCAGTAAAAAGCCAAAATGCTGACTACAGCCAATAAAAAAACGCAGTGATTCCATGCACTGATTGGTCAGAAATGGCGGCACATTTAAGGGTATGGAAGCAAGAGCATGTAGTGGATTTCTAAGTGACACTGAGTGAACAATTCGACGTACGTATTTAAACTTTTTGACGAAAAAGGCAGGATTTTTTTAATTTGGCCTCACATTTTTTGCAAATGATGTCCTTTTAAGGCACACAGATCGTTAGGCGATAAATTTTTTTCGGAAGAATCAACTTGCAGTTGCAGTTAGGATAGCCACGTCCATTTGTATCCGCTGTGAAGTGCGTTAAACAGAAAATAACACTGCCAAAACGATGTGTGAAGGTGATCCAAATGCCTCCTGTTTGTTTATACCGAAGAAAATTTGTGTAGTTTGCACATGTTTAGCAAGAAAGTTGCATAAGGAATGCAAAATTCTTTTAGAAAAAAAATTCCTGATGTTTGCGAAACGATTTTGGGACGAGGTTAACACAAAACAGAGTCGTAATTCGAGGAAAAAATGTGCTGATTAAGGCAACAGAAAATTCCATAATCAGAGCATTTTTTTACAACAAACTAAGTTGCATCGTCAGTATTTTCAAGAAGACAAAAAGAGCTTTTGGGATATTTTCAATTCAACACCTTTCATTTTTGAGTCTGTCATGCACACCACTTCATAAGTTTAAACCTCCCTCGGCCGCATGCCATTGGCTCACCCACACTTTTAGTCTCCTACCTATTGTAATTTTGTTATGGTCTTGTTTAAACGCAGTGTTAGACAAACTCACATTCAGCCAATCGTTGAAGAGGCATTTGGAAATGTCGAAGGCGTCGATGTCAAGGGAGAAATGAGTTGACTGTCTACGCAGTTGAATGGACTGCTGACGAACGCCGCTCATCGATTCATCTGTGGAAGAAAAGCGATGGTAATTCGGAAAGGTCACTAATCCCTCAAAATCATCAGCTGTTAGCATTTCTGTCACGAATGACATTTGTGAAACGTGTCCCCTAGCAGTTGAAAGGTCAAATGAAGGTCATTCTTCCTGTCATTTTGTTGATTGGATATCAAATCAGCACATTAAAACTAAAGGCACGACTTCTGGTGATGTTTCAATCAGAAGCACTGGGGTCGCTGTTTACCGAGGCGGCTCAAGCATCGATAAATAAGGCTTTAAATGCACACTGTTACCAACAAGACATACCAGAATCTGATTCACGAAACATGCGTCAAGGTCAGATTTGTTGGGCGCGGCATTCAAACGTAGATTGACACAAATTAGTGATTTTTCCTGACCCCATTGGGACAGCTGACGTTACTTTCCTCTAAGCCAATCACTGACTAACTGAGGTCAGGCAGGAACGCAGCCGAGTGACCAAATGGAGAAAAATCATTCAGAATTGCATAAAATTTCTGTGAACGACCATGGCAGGCTTTTAAATCGAAACGGCCGCGTTTGCAACGCGTTGCTTTAAACACGGGGAACATTAATGAAATTTTAGTTGCAAAGTAAGCAGGCAGAACAAACGAAATTTCAATCAGAGCTATCCTCTATTTGTGGTCTAGCTGTGTTTTGCCACCGAAATTTTAATCAAATTCAACCGATGGTCTGGGTTATCGGTCTGTGGAGACAAGAAATTGGACAAATTACCTCCATTTACAGCAACAAGTCAAGTGTTATGTCTTCTTTTCAGGCAGAAACAAGGATAACCAAGCATGCCTAACCACCTCACATCCTCTTTAAAATCCCGGCAACTGGACACAACCATTAATCACAGGCGTCCTGTGTGTCATTTGTGCGGTTGGTGAGAATTCTGCCCGTTTCTGCGAAATTTATCCTTAAAAGCGCATCATTGGTCAGACGAGATATCAAGTTGACCTTGATTAACCAATGAAATACAACGGTTTTGAACACAGCACTCGAGAGTTCTGTTCTGTGGATAAGTTTCTCTTCCCATGAGTGGACCTGTAGAAACCCTCAGCAAACGGGTCCATTTTACTAAGTTGATAATAAATAGTGTCTTCACTACGCGATAAACTGGTTGTCGGACATGTTGGGCTAACGCCTCCACATTTGCACGGACCTCTGGTTACGACGGTAATTGGATGAATCAATATCTGGGAGGCACCAATCAGGCTATAATGCTCCAGTGAAAAGTGATATTTTGACCAATCAAACGCAGCTATCGTGAATGCTTCACTTGTTTGTTAAACCAATCAGAGCAAAGCTACATGGAGCAGGAGTGGTCAGCAGTTGTGCACAGGAAAAGAAGCGTCCAAAACAACGGAGTTTAAACAAGAGAAGTCAACTGAAAGTGTTTACCAAACTCGGACAAACCTGTCGTGTTTTTTGGATGCAAAAATTTAAGTAGTCTGCAAATTTATTCACCTGAGAGTCTAGCGAATTTGCTATTACTGATGCCTATGATGTGCCATCCCAAAGGTAACATGCATAACCCCATGTGATCCTCTCAACTACGCACTTAGATAAATGTAACGCACGTGAACGTCGTTTTTGTTCAGATCGGGGCGGACAATATTTCTGAAATAATTTGCAGTCACGTCGTGCGAACACGACATGTAAACTTACATTTCTAACATTATTTCAAGGGATGACCGATTTAAAATTCAATTGATTGACTTTAATGAGGATTAAAAAATAATTTGGTGACGTGAATAGAATATAAAGGCTTTTCTAAGTGCCGTTTTGTTTCACCTGATTGGATAATTTTGTTTAAAATGAGAATGTCAAATTTTGAGCGCGAAATTGGAAAAAAGGGTGATTATCCTTGTAAAGATGATTAGATGAACAAAATTGATAAAAATTAGCCAATCAGAACCTAGAAGAGATTGGGGAACGACCTGCCGAGGCAGAGGGGGCAAAGTATTCACCAAGTAAAAAGTTGTTTTTTGTTTCCCAAATTTTAAACGCAAATAAGGAAGGTAAAAATAGCATTAGTAGGAAATAGGTATCAGCTTACACGAGAAGTATGCAGATGTTTTGCTCGAGGCAGCATCCAGCGCTGTGCTGCCTATTACCAACTACCTAATGGGGTCTTTTTTAACCTCTTAATCTGATTGGTTTAACCAGACCCAGGGAGGGGTGCGATTTTGGCGTTTCGTGATTGGCTCGTTGCCCGGGAAGTGGTGCGAGTCCTAGCACAGATGCGACGCATCCCAATTTATGATGATGCGGCAATCTGAAATTACCGCTGACCTGAATTTGTGCTGGATCATGTCACAGAGCTCCGTGATTGGCCCGTGCTGTGTTTAAACCAGTAGTGTAGTCCCATCGGAAATTTGATGTTGTCAACATCGTGTTTTGACAAACAAACGCTCAATGCTCACTAGGATGATCCGCGTTTTAACGTCCCCAGATAAAGTAGCAATTAATTCTGGAATTGCTTAAATCAGGAGTTGTGCTCTACAAAGTTAACAACTGTTTTTACGGGGGAAAGGTAGAACTGAACTGCTCTGGTTGTTTTAATCTACTGTTTCATTTATCGAGTGCAATTTTCAAATTTGTTACTCATCAGCTTACACGCACATGTTGTTTTTCTGTTATTCTTCAAGTGCTGACTGCTTGACTGAGTATCACTGGTTAACAGAAATTTAAAACACATTTTTTAAGACAGGTTAAACACAATTTGGGCAATGAATCGGTCATGCAGTCACTCAAATTAGCATGTGGTACACGAGTAAATTAGTCAAGTTGATGATTGCACAGAAACGATACGTACCTTCGACTGATGGCTCCACAATTTCGTCTGCAACAGCACGTGTGTGTTGTTCAACATTGAGACGGTCTGCTGCAAAGACGGTTTCAGCGGGAATGGTGATCAGACGAGTTTCAACGGTTTGTCGACAGGCCTTAGCAACTTGTACCAAAATTGAAGCGTCCTTTTGGCGCAAATGGAATGGCTGTTCGAAGACGTGGAACTCGACTGCCTCCGGAAGACAAACTTTAGTCGAATGGTTCACTAACTGGAGATGCATGGGTTCCATTTCCTCTTCGTCTGCGTTTTCGCCAAAATCCTTCATCTGCTCCAGGTGATAAATGGACGCTGACAAGCCAACATCTGTCTGAATGTCGTCCGTGTGCTCCACAAGTAGTTCAACGTTAGGAGAAAACGTTTTGGCAACTTCAGCATCGGATTCTTTCGGCATTCCAAGTGTGGTGAGAACCTGCGGCTTGACAAAGTCGCAGATTCTGAAATCAGTGGAGTCAAGAATGACTCCACAAACGGCACAAACTTGGTCATGTGGAAGTGCATCGAAGGAACCAGCAATCACACAAGATCCAGCTTGCCAGTGACCACAAAATGGCACCGTGACAAGGCCAGCACTTTCAACAGAGCATTCATTGAATTCAAACAGTCCGTCAGTTCCGAAATCGCAAATTTGTCCAAATTTGAGGTTTTTCACCAGTTCATCATTATCAGACACTCCGACATTATGCTTGTCTGTCATTGGTTGTCTCTGTGGCTGCTGTAAATGCATTGGTTCCTCGGTCACCTGATTGAGGATCGAAGAATCAGGAGTCGACGGTGTTTCGAATTCAAGCTTGTCTTGTCTTTCCATAGCATCTCCGCCAGGTGCACAAACGTCAGGTAATTGCTCTACGGCCTCTACTTCGTCTTTTTCAGGCACTCCTGTCTCTGAGCTGGTATGCGTCCCTTGACAGAGTTTCAAAGACTCCTGCATATCGCTTGTAGCGTCTTTTTCGTATGCTCCTTTATCAAATAATTTTGAACTTACTCGACTGTCAACGGCATCGTTGTAGACGTCAGTAGATGGAGCCGTGTTCTCGCTCCTATCAAAGGCACCCGATTTCTCTGAAGATCCAGCCTTTTGTTTCTCGTCTAAGCTGAG